TAATCGGGATGGGTGTGTCAGAGGCAGTGTGGTTGGCGCAGGATAGAGCAGGGTTTAGGGCTGTTGTGCATAGGGTCGCTATGAGTCGAAAACGACTCGACGGCACATAAAAACAACAACAACAACAATTCAGAAGGTTACTCTCCCCAAGTGTACATGCATTTGAGAGAGAACCTTCAAGGACAAACATACCAATTTATGCATTTCAAGCAGAATAACAGAAAAGTGTGGGTTTTTTTTTTTTTTAAACCTTTCCTACCTATTCTGCTACTCCATATAAGTGCATTTGTATGGGATTTGGATTGAAACGGCAATGTTCTAATAGTTCTTGAGATTAAAATGTCTTTTCTCATTTAGCAATATGGCTTACTTTTTAGTTCCCTCCTTTCAACTCCTCAAGAAACCTCCTGGCCCATAGCTGACTTGGCTCCACCCCTGAAGTTCTTTCAAGGACCAGTTCAAATGGCTGGAACCTTTTTTTATTCATGTTTGCCTGAGTCTGCACATATGCTGGGGCCGTAGAACAGAGGGCTGTGGCTGGTGAAGAGAACTATGAAAAAAATATCTATTTTTTCCCCCCATGCAAAGACAAATTTAGGATGTTCTGGGAGTAGTCTTGGACATTTTAAAGGAAAATTGGTCTACAAAAACTGAACACATATCGCTTCTTGGCCTTTTGGCTAAGATCAAGTGTAAAAACTGAACACATAGCCTGACATTTTGCTTAAGTTTTATAAACTCCATAGCCAACCCATTTAGAATTTATTCCTTGAGGAAAGTATTTTGGGTTTATAGCTACTAATTTAACCTCAGTTTTCAAAGCCGTTTGGAGCAGTCATCTACTTCTAAAAACAGACTAGAGCTGCTTTTGCCAGTTTTTTCCTTTGACATGAACATCTCTTTAACCATACTCACAGTTTCCCTGTTTTTTATGTTTTATTTCACCAGCAATCTCAGTGCAACTTGGATCTTCGGCATATCACCGTGGTGGAGTTGGTGGGTGTGTTCCCAACTCTCATTGGAAGGATAGGAACAAAGATTATGCCTCCATCTCTAGCTCTGCAGCTCAGGTAAAAGAAAGTCTTATCTTAAATTTCATCCTCTGTAATTGTACTTCTTTCTGTGATGTTCCCTGATTTCTTCCTTTTCATATTGGCTCTCGGAAGCTTTCAATTCTTTTTGTTCTAAGAGTATTATTCTAGTTGTGTGTCATTAAGTCAGAACCTATTCATGTTGTTGTCATTATGTGCTGTCAAGTCACTTGCAACTCATAGTAACCCTTTGTACAACAGCTCTGAACCTGCTCTATCCTGAGCCAACCTTATTGTCTCTGACACACCTGCTACCATTACCCCAGGGTCTTCTTTTCTTGTGCTGTCCCTCCACCCTCCAAAATATGTTGTCTCTCTCCAAGTACTGATCCCTCCTTACAACATGCCCAAAGTATGTCAGATGAAGCTTCAGAATCCTTGCCTCCAGAAAACAGCCTGGTTTCACCCTCATAGTTAACTGTAAAAAGAGCAAGGACCATGTAGAGACGGCCATTTCAGACCCTTTTCAAATTCACGAAGGGGAACTGTCTCTGTTCACACATCAATAACACCAAATTAATCCCCATGAGGTCAGACATGTCCCCCATGCTCCCTTACCTCTTTCTACTCATCTCAATACTAATCCTACTGCTTTGCTGGGTTCAAAATCCAATGTGATAGCTCACAGACCACACAGAACAATATTGGTGAAGTGAAAAGGTTATAACCCACATTAATAACAGGATACAATCTAGATATCCCCCTGAAATATGCAGAGCAGATACCTCAGCCTTGAACTTCACACCTTCAGGCCAGTGGTTTCCAAGTCCTCAGTCCTACCAATATTGGCTCCCTACCCCCGTTACTTCTCATCTCACATCAGGTCTCCATTTCAACCATGGCTGCTCTTTTCCTGGTGGTGAGGTTTCTTCATTGGTGGTAGAAGGAGGTCTCCTTGTTCTTCACTGGCAGGGGGAAGATCTGTGTCTCTATTCAATGGTGAGACTAGCTCATCCCCTTGTAGAACTTTGAGACTGGCCAATCCCCTTGTTGAATGGTAGATAGCCAATCCCAACATGGATAGGCAATCATGCCCTATTCACATATTCCCACTCATCCATGTGATTAGGTCAGATTTAGATGGCTAGTAAAGCCACGTGGGATGATAATCTCCAGGGAAAAGAATGTGCAACAATGAAAACAAATTAAAATAAAATATTTTTATTTGAAAAAAAAGAAAGAGAAACTCTACATTAACCCTCCAGTGAGTTTGCAAAGGCAGTAAATCCCATGGGAGGAGATTGCCCATCCTGCAGCAGACATTTACCAGGGTTCTCATCTTTTCCCCTTCAATCAACAAGTTTTGTATAGTTTTTATTTTGGGGTGTTTTTTTTTGGTATGTTGGAAAAAAGAACAAAGTAATCTTGACATTATTAAGAGGTAGCCTGTCTAGACTTGGCCTCTTTTCCCCCCACATTTCCAGGGCCCTTGTCCAGACCCTGTTGTTAACAATTATGTAACAATTATTTTGGTAATATTTATAAAACCAGTACTGTGGTGTTGGACTCTGAGTACTATCAGTGTGCTAACTAAGTAGAATTCAATGGCCCAAAGGTAATTTCAAAATAACCCCTATGTTTACTAGCATCTCTTGACCTGAACTTTGGCTCTGGTGTGGCTTTGATTTCTAAACAGATGAGCAGCACACAGAAGCAGAGCCAAAGGATCATTTATTGTTAAAATATAGATTGCAAGGCCCCACCCCCAGCATTTCTGATTCAGGAGATCTTCTTGGGGCTCAGGAATTTGCATTTCTAACAGGTTCCCCTAGAAGAGCTCTAGTGGCCTAGTGGTAAGAAGCTGCACTGCAATTGCAAAGGCACATAGTTAAAATCTACCAGTTCCTCTGAGAAAGAAGGATAGGCAATCTTCTCCTGTGTAATTCACTTCCCTGAAAACCTGACAGAGGGGTCAGTTCCAACTCCATGGTACTAAAAAACAACAACAAAAACAGGTTTCCCCAGGGATGCTTCTGCTGCTAGATTCCACATTAAGATCCTTGATCTAGTGGGGTTTTTGATGGGCCATCTTTATTATGCAAAGTTAGCAAGACTCAAAGATAGTACTCGTCACATGGAGGTGTTCCCTCAGATGTGTTACCTTACTGCCTTACTGTCAAGCTGTGTGCCTCTTTTACCAAGCACATCAGACAGAAACAAGGACCTAGGCAGGTGGATGTTATGACTAGCCCTCTGAATTCCACACAGAGTCTACCACAGTGAAAAAGGGCTGATTTAGCCAATTAATAACCAACCAATCAACTAATCACTGCTGTAGAGTAAATTCTGACGAGGAGACTTTATAGGACAGAGTAGAACTGTTTCCAAGGTTGTCAATCTTTATGAAAGTGGACTGCTTCATCTTTCTCCCTCAGATTAACTAATGGGTTTGGCCTGACCTTGACATTAGCAGTCAAGCATTTGACCACTACACCAAAGTAATAGAAGCAGGAAAGAGGTAAAGTAGATGCCCAGATAATACAAAAAATGATCTCATTAATTTTCAAATTGAGCCAAAGCTGTGGTATAACGTTGGAAGAGAATAAGCAGAAAGGAGAAACCTGGAGTGACAAGTTCCCCAACCTTCCTATTTTCTTTCCGCATTTGTTTTTTATATGAACAGTAGGCTAATTAATGTTCCCTGGAGTGAGGAGAAGCTGCATTGCAATTCCAAATGTACATGATTCAAATCTGCCAGCTGCTCTGTGGAAAAAGGATGATAATCTCCTCCCATGTGATTTACTGTCTCTGAAAACCCATGGGAGGATCAGCTATGGGTCGGTCTGACTTGATGGCAAACAACAACAACAGAGTCATTTCCCAGCAATATCAAGGGTTGTGGAGACTAAGAAAACTATAATGTTTAACCCCATGATGACCTTTGAGTCTATTAAATTCGGTTACAGATTTTACTGAAAAAAATTCATTCCAGTCTGACAACAGGCAGCTGGGTAACTCCACTATACTGCCACCTCTGCACATCACATTCCATGGAGTGTCCAATCAACCATCCTCAAGACTGCTGTGGTCTCTTGGCCATGGTGGGATGCATTCCTAGGGCAGTGACTAGGCTTCTGATCTGACCACACATCTCTTTCTCATATGGTTTGCCATCATTATATTCCATACCAATTTAGACACAGGGCTCACATGAGGAATGTGTGTGCACAACAGACTGTGACACTATGGGAGGTTTCCATCCTAGCCTCGTAAGCATTATAAAACCAAATGTTCCAATTGTTACATTACATCTAAACGTAATCAAGTCAACTATCACTCATAGAGACTCTGAACAGCAGATGAAAGTCTTTCCCTATTCAGCACCATCGATTGTCTCTGCTGTGATCAAGCCAATGGTTGCAGTCACTGTGTCAGTCCAACTTGTGGAGGGTCTTCCTTTCTTTCTCTGACCCTCTACCTTTCCCAGCATGATGTTGTTTCCCAAGGATTGGCTTCTCCTGACAATACCCCCAAAGTATATGAGACCAAGTTTCACCATCCTTGAACCTAAGGAGCACCCTAGTCACACTTTCTCCAAGACAGAAATTGTTTGCTTCTTTGAAAAAACAATATGATCTTCAGTACTCTTCTCCAACACCACAATTCAATGGCATTGATTCCTCTTTGGTCATTCTTAATCACTGTACAACTTTCAGATCCATATGAAACAATTGAAAATAGCATGGCTACAATCAGTCAAATAAAAAAAGCATGACATCCATACATTAACAGTCACATACCTCTAACAGAATCCATTTACTGTGTTCCTGATCAGAATAATCAATAGTGCTAGCCAAGCACCATGTAGTGCTTCTACTGTCAAGGTAGATGAGCTGGTGGATAGTGTAGACAGTTAACCCTGTAGAGTAAGAATGAGTCTTGAATTTCTATCTTTCATTTTTGCCCTGAACAAGCAGGGACCACTAGCTATATATTTAGATGGCTGCTCACAAGCTCTTAAGACTCCAAATAGTACTGCCAAGCAGGGATGTTGAGCATAAATTTTATGAGCTGAATTATGGCAATTGACTAAGTTGTTCCCCAAGACTATGGTCCTAAGTCTTTGAACCCTGAAAACCCATGAAGTATCTAGTTGTATCTGAGAAGTATCTCTGTAACAATCTCTGTGTGCTTGATTATGTATAAGAATAGGCATACAAAAAAAAAAAAGAATAGGCATACCTAGAAAGAGAGAGAAGAAAACTCTGGTGTCCTAGTGGTAAGGAGATGTGCTGCCAACCCAAAGGCACAAGGTTCTAATCCACCAGCAGCTCCACAGAAGTAAAGATGGGCAGTCTCTCCCTGTGCAATTTACTGCTACTGAAAACCTGCTGGAGGGTCAGTTATGGATGAGTTCTGACTCAACAATACACAACAATAATGTGTAGAGAGTTCTGGTGGCTTAGTGGCAAGGAGTTGCACTGGAGAAAGATGGACAATCTCCTCCTGTGTCATTTACAAACTCTGAAACCCCACTGGAGTGTCAGCTGTGAGCCAGTTCTAACTAGATGGTACATAGCAGTAAACATATATGTATATACACACTCACACACACTTTATACATACTATAGATACTATATATATACACACACACTATCTATCTATCTATATATATACACACACACATACACACAATATATACTATATAGACTATATATATACTATATATAATCTCTTCCCAAGTCATTTACAGCTGCTGGAGGATGAGCTATGAATCAGTTTCCACCAGATGGGAATAAGAGTAAGACACACACAATTTGCATGTGTAACTGTTACTGCTATTGTGGCTAACACATATACAATGTGTGTGTGTGTGTGTGTGTGTGTGTGTGTGTGTGTGTGTGTGTGTGTAACTGTTACTGATATTGTGGACAAATTACTTATCAGAGGCTAGGATGACAAAACTTTATCTTTCATACTTTACAGATGGAGTTAGGTGAGGCTATTCCTTGGTAAGGGACTTCATGTTTGGAAGGATGGAGGTGAGGAAGACTCCCAATGAGGTGGATTGACACTATGACTTCAGCAGTGGACTCTAGTGTCTCAGAGATGATGAGGATGGCACAGGATTAGGCAGGGTTCAAGTTGGCTGTTCATAGGGTTGCTATGATTCATACTCAAAGGCATCTAACAACTACAACTGCTATTGCAAAATTACATAGATCATGTTGTTTTTAGGTGCACTGTCAACTTCACATTGTCTCATTGCAACTAAATGGACAATAAAATGAAATTCTTTGCCATCCTCACAGTCCCTGCTGTGTTAGAGACTATTGTTGCAGTCATTGAGTCAGTCCACCTTATTGAGGGTCTTCCTTTTGTTGACCCTCTACTTTCCCAGAGAGAAAAAGTTCGGCATGAAAACTGTCTGAAAACTCACTGGAGGGTCAGCTATGAGTCAGTTTCAAAGCATGATGCAATTTCCCAGGGATTGCCCCTCTTCTGAGAACATGCCCAATATATGTCAGTAGTTACCAAAATGTCCTTTTCTCTTGTGTACATCTTAGTGGCATCATTTACCTTGGTCAAGCTGTGCTCACTTCACTCATATTCAATGTTACATTTCCCATCAGCAAAAATACCTACTACCTAGGCAATGATTCCTTTTCTTCCCCTCTTCGCACCCGTTCTTGGTAACCATCAGTGAACATCAGTCTTCGTATCAGTATCTAATATTATAAAAGTAAGATTGTACCTGTTTGCTCTTTCATGAATGACTGAGCTGTGGTGCTGGAGAAAAGTGCTAAATATACCGTGGACTGCTAGGAGAACAAACAGGTTTGTCCTGGAGAGGATGAGGCAGGGCTGCTTCTTGGAATCAAGGATTCTGAAGCTTCATCTGACATACTTTGGGCATGTTGGAAGGAGGGACTGGTCCTTGGAGAGGGACATCATGTTTGGGAGAGTGAAGGGATGGTGCAGGAGAGGAAGACCCTTGATGAGATGGATCGATTCATTGACTGGAGCAGTGGGAGTAGGTGTGTTGGACACAATGAGGTTGGCACAGGACAGAGCAGGGTTTAGGGCTCTTGTACAAAGGGTTGCTATGAGTTGCAAGCGAATCAACAACAACAACAACAACATATATGTCATAAGATATTTAGAGAACTTATTATTCTTAACTACATAGTATCCCATTATGTGTATATACTACATTTTGTTAATTTATTCATACATTGATGAGCAATTAGGTTTTTCCCTTTTTTTTTTCTCTTGTGAATTCACTGAACTTAACTATGTGTCTGTTCCTGTTTCTTCTTTTAGATCTGTAGGATATATACCATCGTCCAATTTTAGTAACCAAAAAATGTCTCCACACCACCATGCGTTTCTACATGAAATGGGGTAGGGGGGGCAAGATATCGTTGAAAACCATTGATTTATTCATAATGCATATGTAGTTGTAATTCTAAAAACCTTTTCTAGTACGTTCACTAATCTATCAGCTACTAACTGAAATGTCAGTGGTTCAAACCTACCAGCAGTCTACTCTTGGGAAAATTACAATTTAGGAAATACTATGAAGTAGTTCTACTCTGTACTACAGGGTTACTTTGATCCAGAATTGACTCAGGGGCACATCTGCAAACTTGCCTTGTCTTTAATTTCATGCAAAAATATTGTGAGATTTTTTTATATGTGCCTTATAATAACTTAGACTCATAGTTCTTGTTTTTGTTAGATGTCATCGATTTGAGTACAGTCCATAGTGACCCTATGAACCCTGTCCTATCTTCTACTAACCTCATAATCTCTGGCATACTTGAGCCCATTGCCACAGTCACGGTGTCAATCCCTCTGGTCAAAGGTCTTCCCCTGTTTCGCATACCTCAACCTTTCCAAACATGATGTCCCTCTCCAAAGAATAGCCTCTCCTAGCAATATGCCCAAACATGTAAGTCAAAGCTGTACCTCCAATGAGCACTCTGGCTCTACCTTCTCTAAGACACATCTGTTCGTTCTCTTTTGGCAGTTCCTGGTATATTCAGTATTCTTCTCCAACACTATAGTTTAAAGGCATAAAGTCTTCTTCTGTCATGCTTATTCATTGTCCAGCTCTCATATGCATAGCAAGTGATTGGAAAGACCATATCCTGAATCAGATGCACCATGTCCTGGATCAGATGCACTTTAGTCTTCAAACTGACATCATTACTCCTCAATAATTTGAAAAGGTCCCATTCTAAAAACTCACTACTGTAGAGTTGATTCCAAAACTAATAGCGACCCTCCATTGGTCTTCTTAGGCTATAAGTCTTCATAGGAAGAAACTGCCAATCTTTCTATTGTGTAGTGATTGGTGGATTTGTACCTTTGGGATTAGCAGCCCTCTACATTCTATTCCACAGAGGCATTAGAAGCCTAAATTCTTTCTAACCATAATCTACGCAGAAATCCTCAATCTTTCATATGCTTTCCTGTAGATCTTGCTAATAATGTAGATTTTAATTCACTGAGTTTGGAGTGAGACACAAGAATCCTCATTTCTAAGAAATCCTTGTCTAATGACCATGCTTGGAATAGCGAAATCCTAAAGGAAAGTTCAATCCTTGGTGCACTGACTCTTTCTGTGAATACAGTTTCCCTTTAGGTAAGTAACTGGCTCACTGGAACCTTTAGGACTAGAATTTTGATAGATTCTTCTTATTCTGTTGTCTGTACCAGGCTGCTGCTGCGAATCCCACTGTATACCTTCAGTATGGTGCTTGTGGATAAGCATGGCATGGACAAGGAACGTTACATCTCCCTGGTGACACCCATGGCCCTCTTCAACCTGATCGACACTTTCCCCTTGAGAAAAGAGGAGATGGTCCTGCAAGCCGAAATGGGCCACACCTGTAGCACCTGATGTGCTGGTTCCTTGGTGCTCCCCCTTTGGTTTCTCTTCTCTTTCTATGTAACACTATGCACACAGGGAAGGTCTTGAGAAATATCTTTGATGTACAGAGTTTTGTTTTGTAATTTTAAAAGTCTATTTTATTATGAGCTTTCTTTGTACTTAATCATTAACCCAAGGTTCGTGTGCTGTTTTTTAAAAAAAAAAACCCACAGCACTATATGAATATGATATTCACTCTTCCTACCTTTCATTACCCCACCATAACTTGTTAATTTTGTAGAGAATTTAGAAACCCAACCACATATATATGTTCAACATGTTATCCAGTGTAGCAAAGACCTTTTTTATATGTTGTTGTTCATACAAGACCTTTATTAATAAAATATTTTTGAGCAAATGTATTGACATTCACTCTGTTCTTTAGCCACAGGCTCTACTTGCTCAGCACTAGTCCACAGTTCTAGGGTTGCTATACTTACTGGTGATTTAGGAATGGAAAAGTGTAATTACTCCCTCAGACAAACTTTGACATTTTCCTTTCATTTTCAGAATATCAGTTTGGAAAGTAGTCTATTTTGAACAAACAAAATTACTAAATGGAGAGTGGACAGTCTAAATGTCAAAACACAAGAGTTTTTAAGACTTGTAAGAGATTTGACACTTGAAAGATGAGGCTTTGTAGTTGTTATCCTGTGCATAGACATATATTCTGTTTACAAGTAGTATTCCCCCCTCTCAAAGCATACTGAGATATGCGCTTAAGTAAAACTCATAAAGATTGATGACTCACTTTAGTTGCCACCTTCCAAGAGATGACTGCTCTCCAATATCTGCCTGATTTTTAGTTGCTCTCTAATACCTTCAGATCATCTTTACACATGTATTGCCCAGATGTCATTGTTGCCTATGAAAACTTGATCCAATGTATTTTATGTCAGTGGTTCTTGCCCTTAAATTCATGTTAGAATTACTTGTTTCTTTGGCCAGACACTAGTCTTGTTAATGCATACTATAATAGAATGTAAAATATAATGTAATTACTTTCCGTAATCTAATTAATCAATCAACCAAACAATCCATTTAAAAGGGAGTTTCCATAGGGTATTTTTTACCCACATCCCTAAGAATAGAAATAGATATTTTCTGCAGGGCTTTACTCTGTATTCTTCTTGTCATCTTCCCTACTGATCTTGAGATGCAAGACTACAGGAGTCATCAGCCTGCTGATTGACCTATGGATTTTGGACTTGCCACCTGCCAGCAACCATAATCATGTGAGCCAATCCTTTGAAATCTCTCATTTCCTCTCAATTGTGTGATTGTTGTATTTTAAATACAACTAATAAATGAGAAAACAAGTTTAAACCACTAGGCATATAGTTAGTACTCAACAGATATCACTTATGACCTTTTTCACTACTCGGGATTTTCTGGTAGAGGTGGCATAGGGAGTAGTGATGTCAGACTTCAGACTTAGGATAAGTGAGCAAACACCAAAAGAAAGGGAAGATTCACTGGCCAAGCACCAGAAGAGTTGTTTAACATCTTATTAACTTTAGGAAAATAAATCAGACACATCTAATCTGTGTGTGTCAAATCAGTAAATGTATTTTTATTCAAATACAACACATATTAAAGCAGAAGGAACAAATGAAAAATAATCCATCTCCAAGGACACACAATCCATCCTCAAGGACTTAAAGAGTAACTCATAACAGAATCCATTGTTGTTGTTATGCACCATCAAGGTGGAACCCATTCATAGCTGACCTTCCAGTGTATTTTCAGAAGTAGTAAATTGCACAGGAGAAGGTTGCTCATCCTTTTCCTGAAGTGCAGCTTTTGGATTCAAACTGTGTGTCTTTGGTATTGCAGCACAGCTTCTTACCACTAGGCCACCAGAAATTAACAAACCATTGCACCCTGCAGCAATACAGGGTGCTCAATGTTTTGGTCTGGGTACATATTCCATAGAGAATTCTAGAAGCAGGCATGTGAAATGCTTAATATTGCTATTGATTTTGCAATAAACGAAGTAAGACTTGAGATAGAAATAGTTACTTGCCATTAAACACAAACACATGGGGGAAACCTTGTCAAAATGAATGCAGGCTTCTTCATATCGCTTATTGTTAATATTGCTCAGAGGTCTTCCTTCTTTTTCTTTCTCAATACGAGGGAGAAAGATGGGCCATCTCCTCTTGTTCGATTTATAGCCTTAGAAAACCAAATGGAGGGTCAGTTAAGAATCGATTCTGACTCAGTGACAATGAGAGAGGAAGAGAGATACTTTTAAAAAAGCAAAAGAGACCCACTTTCTACTAAAGAAGGAAATTAGGAGTCTCTTTGAACAGTCAAAGCAGATAGATACCAAAGACTAAGCTGTCAAAGCAGAAATTAACTGTTCATGTGTAAATGAAGCCAGCCTCTGGTAGAAACTTGAAAATTATCCTTTGCATTTCCTCTCCAGGTGTTTCTGACTGATGTCCCAGTGACACTAGTGAGCTTAGCTGTTCTCAGGATATTGAAATTGTGGCTCCCTTCTTCAGTCTACTAAACTCTTGAATTTACCTTTGAGGTACACGGGAAAATGTAATGAAACTGACACATATATAGCTACTTCATTTGCTTTAGTAGCAAGGATTTAATGCAGTCACAGAGCTGGGCTAATATTTGGCCTACTGTTGTGATGCCCCTTTTTTGTTGTGTGCCATTGAGTCAGAACTGACTCAAAGCTGACCTTCCAGTTGGTTTTTGGAGAGTGTGGGAGGAGAATGTCCATCTATCTTTTACAGAGCAGCTAATGACTGTGAACCAAGTGCCTTTCGGTTTGCAGAGCAACTCTTTACCACTAGACCACTAGAGCTCCTGAGGGAAGGAATGTGAAGGAAGCTCCCAGAGAAAACACCCCTCTTTCCCCTAGGTCCTTAGCAATTCTTCTCTGGCCCAAACTTGCACACCTCATTCAGCAAATTCATCTGCCTTTAAACAGATCTATCCTTCTTAGAAGGAAATTCATTGCTCATGAATTAATCGTGATCCACATTTCCTATCTGTTTGAGCAGACATTATTCCTTTTAGAGAATATAATCTTATTCCTAGGTAGAGTTATTCACTTCATTCAATTCCAGGGATGTTTAATGTGCTGTATAATTTGATGCCCTGGGCAATTGCTTGGGAAGCTCAGTCTAGCTCTGTGCATTCAAATGTTTTACAAACAAATGAATAAAAGAGTTGGATGCTTATAAATCAGAAAAAAAGCTGACAAAAATGAATGACCATATTTCCATAATTTCATGTGGGGTAAAAAAGCATTAAAGAAATCTTCATGTTCTGGTATGCATTACATCAATCAAATGGACAATGAAAGGATATAAGGTATTAAGAAAGATAACTTAGCTGGGGATGATGGGAATGATTAAAAATAAGATTCAGGAAAAGGTCAACTGTTACTTTCTTTATATCAACTAAAAGCCAAAGACCTCTCTCAAAAAATATCCGTTTATTAATAATGAAAACCAGGAAGGGATGGAAAAAATTATATTCTCAATGGCTCCCTTCTTTGTTTCACATTTAAGAAAAATTTAAAAAGAAAAGTTTTATTGTTGGGACTCCGCTCAGCTCACACCCTGTTGCAAGGATTCTGCAAAAGTGTGTTTTCTGGTTTGGAGTTGAGACTAGGGTGTGGCTATTGTTCACAATAGAATATAAGTTGATTGGATTTGGCCTTGTATTTAAAAAGGTTACCACTCTGGGGCTATTTCCAGGATGGGAAGATTAGTGGAAAGGCCGGATTTTGCAAAGGTGTGTTTTCTGGTTTAGGGTTAAGACTAGTATTTTTTCCTTAGACATTGCAAATAATTTATTTTAACAAAATATTTTAATTACTCATTGTTCTTCACTCAGAGAAAAAGGAAAACAAAGTGCCTTCTTATGCTGAAATACTGGGAGAAAAGTATAATCTCTAGATGGGTGTTTGGCCTTTTATTGACAATTCTATATAGCCTACTTCTTTCCACATATGAAAGAAAGCCCACCTAGTTAGAATTGATAAATTCTAAGGAGGTAAGTGAGGCACAATTTATAATCCTTGAATTATGCATTACTTATAGAGACAAATTAGTTTGTATTTCTATGGAAGTTGTTCAATAGAATGGTGAGTTTCCTTTGGTAGATAGGCAGAATTTTGAACACCATTCTTTTTCTTAATTTCCATTTATTTATTGTTGCACTTTTTTCCCTGCCCACCCCTCCCCTCCAGTTCATTCTTCTCCTTGAAAAGTAAAAGAAAAATTCTTTCAGTGTCATACAATCCCTTCCCCCCAAGTCCACTCTACTATGCAGCCTTCATTCTGGACCCCTGTCATGACAATAATACCTAATAATTTATCCCTTTTAAACAGTTTCCTCTCTTATCTGTTACAATGTAGTATACATAATTTTTCACATCTTTCTCAGTCTCCACCCAACCCCGAAGTCAGTCCTGTTTTACAACAGTGACACTATGCAGTTTTTGTCCTTTTGTGTCTGAGGGTCACCCACCATTCTTGTAAAGAAAACTGGCATGGAAGATAGGGAGTAGGTGTTAGAATGAGACAGTCATCACCTCAGAAGAGGTTGTTAATGAAAAGGAAGGGTAGTTTGTCCCCAGATTAGTAATATGGCAACAAGGTTTTCTCTCCACCAAATTAAATAATATGCCGTATTTATTATCTATGGAGTCTCATTAGTCTAGTGTTAAAGTGCTTGGCTACCAACTTATATAAGTTAGCTGTTCAAACCCACCAACTGCTTCAAAGAAGAAAGATGTGCAGTCTGCTTTTGTAAAGATCTGCAGCCTTGGAAACACTATGGGAGAAGTTCTTCTCTGCCCAGTTGAGTTGCTATGAGTCAGAATTGATTTGAAGGTGATAGATAATCAGATGCAGTAGGACGTTACTGTTTAAAAAGAAATAAATTACTATCACCCATGATGGGCAATTAAAATAAGAGTCATTTGTATGTTCACTGGAGTCTACTTCATTGTATACACAATGCTTAAGACCAAGCATCTAGGAAAAGAGGACCTAAGGGATCAGTACTACAGAGTGATGTAACTAGCTCAGTAA